ACCTCGGAATGGAATGAGCCGGGGCCCAAGGCCAAGGAATGGGGGGCAGAGAGGCCCTGGAGTGGGTGGGAGAGCAGAGCAGGTGCTGGGACTCTGGGTTCAATAGAGAGCTCTCCACACCAGGTTTTTCCCAGATTCTGTGTCTTGTGGCTTTGTTGTCAGGCCATCTGTAGGCGGTTTGTTTTCGCAGCGGACAGAGGGAGCCTGTCACATCTGTGCGGCAGCGGGTGTGTGGCAGGGGCAGGGTGGCCGCCTGGGGAGGGGCGCGGGGGAGGGGCCGTCCTGCTTTTCTTCCCAGAGCACAGGAGATAAACAGTCGGGTGTGGCCAGGGCTGTTCTACGGGCAGGGGGGCAGGCGTGATGGTCCCTGGGGAGCCTTAACCATTAACATGAATTAACCGGGATGCTGTGTTCCCAGGCCAGCCCTGTTGGGGCATGGCAGTGAAGGCGACACCCTCCCAAACTCAAGAGCTGAGGAGGAGGTGCTGTGCTCCAGAGTGGACCCAGAGAGGCTGACAAACGGTCCCGCTGGTCTCTGGGGTCCAGGCAGGGCGCCAAGATGGCTGACCACCATCCAAACCTAACCCCCTGACCACAGGGGCCGGAGCGGCTGCTGGAGCCTGGAGGCCCTGTCAGTGGCCGGCCGGGGCGACCCTTGGCTCTCCAGTGTGGTCTGCGAGCACTGTCACAGCCCAGCTGTGACTAACTTCCTCCACCCTCGCCTCCTGGCTGCACTTGCTGTCCCTCTCTGCCTGCAGCACGTCTCAGCCTGTTGGGTGGTCCTCACCATGAACCGGGGCCTCAGAGAAGCGGCAGGTGATGCATAGAGAACACTGAGGCCGAGGCTTCGGAGGGGAGCCCATCCCTTTCTGAGCCACAGCCGGATCCCGGGAAATCCAGTCTCTTCTCAGGGATGAGAATGGTCCCAGCAAGCTCCGTCAGCATTCAGTCCTTCCCTCCCCTGCCCTGCAGCAGCCCCCTCTCTCCCTAGGGCCTCCTTCCTCTCAGCGGGGGGAGGTGCCCTGTCTGGCCCGGAGAAGGATCTCTTGGCCTTGGGGATGACCCCAGAGTAGGTATTGAGCAGCCGGGCCCTAGGGCGTCTGGAGGCCATGGGCCCATACCTGGAGGTGGACTAGACAGCTGGTGTGGCTCCATACTCGCTCAAGTCCTCCTCCCCTCACCCCTGCACTGCCAGACCTCTCTTCTCCCTGTGGTCATGGACACACACACAAACTGCTTCCGGAGAGAATTAGAGCCCTTCACAGGAGGCGGCACAGCTGGGATCGTACCTCAGGTTTTTGAGTGAACGTGAGCAAGTTAAGGAACAGTTCTCCGCTTCCATTTCTCCATGGGTAAGGTGGGTGTGATGGTCTCAGTCCAGCTCTAAGTGAAAAGCAAGTCGAACTATAGCTCTGCCTCAAGGGCCAAGGAGACGGCCTCGGCCCGACGGGGTGGGTGGCAGCAACAGGGTGAAGCTGGGCAGAGCCCACTCCTCCAGGGAGAGCCTGGGTAGGGCAGGTGGCAGGGTGCCCAAGTCCGTTCCCTTGCCTGTGGGTGGAGATGCAGGACCATGGGGCACGGAAGCTGCCAGAGCTGAGCAATCATGACATGAGGCCCCAGCCTTGGTGAGTCAGGACTCCCAGGGGCTCGCTTCCCCCCTGAACGCATTGTCTGCTGGGGTTTGCTCAAAGGCCAGACCAGCCTGCCGGCCACAGCCCTTCACCATCCTCTCAGACCCGGGGGCGAGACCGGCTCTGCAAAGACAGCGTGGAAGCCAAGCGTGGTCGGGGCTGGTGTCCTTGTCAGCATTCCTACTTGTCTTCTCTGGGGCCACATCGATGTCCCTTCTGCCTTGAACCACCCCACAACCTCCCAGCTGCCTCAGTCCCTTGGACACGCCTTTCGAGCCTGTTGGGAGAGGCTTTGCCAGGAAAACAGTGCCCAGGACGGGCAGGAAGTCACAGACGGGGCTCTGGAGACCCTGGTACCTGGGCTGGGTCACCATGGAGGAGGGAAAGGCTCCAGGTCACGGTGGCTTCTTGCTCTTAGGGCCACACCACCTCTGTCTCCCTGACCGCCTAGGCATGGGGGTGCTGGGGGGCATCCTCTTGTGTCCTAGCGGCCCAGGCCGTGCTCGGGGGGCTCCCAGGTGGTGTCCCGGCTTCAGGACAGCTGTGGCGGGTGGAGAAACTCGTGGGACTGCTGGGAGAAGAAAGTATAAGAGGAGGCCTTTAAAAAAAACCCTCTCTTGGGGCGCCTGGGTGGCGCAGTCGGTTAAGCGTCTGACTTCAGCCAGGTCACGATCTCGCGGTCCGTGAGTTCGAGCCCCGCATCAGGCTCTGGGCTGATGGCTCAGAGCCTGGAGCCTGTTTCCGATTCTGTGTCTCCCTCTCTCTCTGCCCCTCCCCCGTTCATGCTCTCTCTCTCTCTCTCTGTCCCAAAAATAAAAATAAACGCTGAAAAAAAAAAATTAAAAAAAAAAACAACAAACAAAAACCCTCTCTTACCTAAAAGGAGGTAAAGCAGAGAGGGAATGTGCGCGCGTGTGCACACATGCTCCGAGAGGAGGAACAGAATGTAGCAGATCACTCTTCCTCTCCAGTACACCCACGTACTCACCCCTCCCTCACCCCTGACCCCTCGCTTCCTTGTGAAAGCCGGGACGCTAATTGTGGGGTGCGTCCAGGGAGGGTCACACCTCTCCAGCAGGCCGAGCAGGATCTGGTGAAAGGGTAGGGCAGGCCGGGAGCCCAACTGTCGGACCTTCCGTCTCCTCCAGCTTTTCTCCCTGGGAGCCAGCCCTCCTCTCTCTCTCTACGAGCCCTGGGCCTCTGGCCGCTAGGCTTCCCAAGCAGCAAAGATTAATCTCAGTATTGCTGTTACTCAATAGTATTTCCCATGCTGATTTAGATTTGAAGAGTTTTCATCCTCTCCAGCATACTTTCACCTCTATTATCTTATTTTTATGCTGATAATAAGGCAGGTGTTTTTGCCCCACCCCACCCCCATTGTACAGTCAAATTGAGGCACAGAATGATCTGCCTAAGGTCACAGAGCTGGCTAATAAGCAGGTGGACTGGTGGAGACTGGGTGTGTTATCAGCTGGGCCCGTGCCATGGGCCTTAGCTCACCCCTGCCCTTTCCTGGTGCCCCTGGCGCTCCAGATGCAATCTCCCTCGAACCCCAACATTTTCTTCTCTTATAGGAACGGGCCCAGGCATGGACATTCCCCCCTCCCTCACTTCATGTTTGAAATCTTACATAGTAGGGGCTCTGTGAATGAGACAGGCAGTCCTGGCCCTCATGGAGCAGACCACCCAGCCAGGCAGACAGACAGACAGACAGACACAGAATGAGGCTGTCAGAAGGGACAGGATGCGCAGAGAGCAAGTCCAGAGAGCGGAGGGTGCCTAGGGCCGTGCGGTCTCACTGCTCACCCCCAAGCATTTAGGCACAGCTCTGCCTTGCAGAGTTGGGGGTTCTCTCCACTTACCACTGGTGAGAGCCACTGAGTAACCTGAGCATCAGACAGGTATAGTGGCTGCTGGCCGGGGCAAACTCTGGCCTGACGGTTGTTCTTGATTGCTTCTTCCCTCCCACGGACAAATAGACCAGAATGTAAATGCATTTCCAAATGTATCCTCACGCCCTGCCCCGTACACAAGTGCTAGGCTTCTCACACAGCTGCCGGAGGTGTGCGGAGGGGGGCCTGGGCCTGACCTAACAGTCCCCTTAGGCCTGTCCAGTTGCCCCAGACAATCCAGGTATCTGCCCCT